CCCCCTCCTTCCTGTGACACCCTCTTAGCTAACCGCTCTGAAAACCGCTCTCATGTCCCTCTCAATCTTCTCCTTTCCAAACTAAACAAGCCCAATTCTTTCAGTCTTCTTTCATAGGTCACAGTCTCTAGACCTTTAATCATTCTTGTTGCTCTTCTCTGGACCTTTTCCAGTTTCTCCCCGCCTTCCTTGAAATGTGGTGCCCAGAACTGGACACAATACTCCAATTGAGGCCTAATCAGCGCAGAGTAGAGCGGAAGAATGACTTCTCATGTATTGCTCAAAGCACTCCTGTTAATTCATCTTCAGCCCTGACGGGTTTTTTTTTCTTCCTTCCTTCAGGTTGTTTTCTATGAGCAATACCATTGAGGCCCTCTGAATCCCTTTCATATGGGCTATCATGAAGTCACTGCTTTGTAACTTGGCTGGCTTCAGATAGCCGCAGCGAGATGAAAGCCGTTTCTGTCCCATTACCTGAGTCAGCCAGTCCCTTTCACTAAACAGAAGCTGCAACTATCTTGGAGCTTATGGGAACATTGGCTGCTATCATGGGCAGTGTCCATGAAAAAAATGGCATGCAACGAGTTGTACCCACCCTACTTAGGGCTCGGCTACTCGCAAAAACTGTCCTGCTTGAATTGGTCTGTTAGCAGGACAGCGCCCGTGACTGGATGTAATTTACTGATATAAAGATGCTGTACACTGGAACTGCCGTTCCTGCAAGGGAATGGAATAATTATACAAAGCTTACGTAACTATAAGTCATCCTTTCAGCAGTGTAACTGTGTTAAAAGCCCATATCCTGCAAACGCTTTCAGGTCCTCTTAAAGCTAGTGCATAAAGCATTTTGATGCCCTTGGATGCAATGTAGATTGAATACAGTGTTGTTACTTTCTGTCAATGTGTGGGTTTTTAAAAATTTGTTGAATGTTTACACGGGGTGAATTCTGACTCGTTAATACAGGCAGCCACTTTACCTTGCTCCCTGGACTTGGAGGAACTTGAAATGCTGCAGAGGCAGTATGCTCAGCTCTTGGTGAAAACCACTTGGCTTTTCTCTAGAGGTCTCTATGCCTTTTGAGAGGCTCTGCAACAGAGGGTGGGCATAATGCTTAGTTTTGAGAGGAAAGAAATAAAATAAGGAAAATCCCCAAGTGCCCCCAAACCGATCTTACTAAACAGGGAGGGGAGAGAAGGTTTGCACACCAAGGGCATATTTAGGGGGAGCTCGACACTGCCGCGGTCAGTCTTCTGGGGTTTGATTTAGCGGGTCTAGTGGAGACCCGCTAAATCAAACTCAGAGGGTGCCCCCTTCAGTGCCAGTACTCCTGCTTTTCCTGTTGCCCTTCTGCTGTGTGGATGGTGCGGAAATGCAATTAAGATACATCAGCTTTGGCTATGTAATTAACATAGCTGGAGTTGCATATCTTAATTTGACCTTCTACTGTAGCGTAGACAAGGCCTGAGGGAATAGCTGGGAACCTTTGCATGAAGAAGGCTCTGTAACTTGAAGGCGTGTTTTGAGGCACAGAGCGGTGGACGGGGACTCTTCCTTCCATTTGCCAGTGAAGCCCTTTCTTCTCTATCTGTCTGTTCCAGCGACACAGGTACAGTGTATGCAGATGATCTCAAATTAGATGCAAACAGCCTTGCAAAGGCACTTTCCAATATTCAAGGCTTCCTTTTATGCTTCATAGTCTCTGGCATCCAACTTCTGCCTCTCCTCATTTCTAGTGTAGCACAAAGCACGGAGAGCGAGGACACATAGTATACTGTGTTGCACCGTTATTTTGTGCCCTGTGCTATGTCAGACGCGCAGGTGTGAGCTTAACTTGTTTTTATTACAAATCCCCTTTTACTAACTGAAGTGTTGTGAGAGACAAGGCCGGGCTTGTTGCCTCTCCCACGCCCCTCCTTGGTTTCCCCGTGCCTCCTTCTGTTTCCTGTGGTTGTGGTTATTTTTCTCAACTGGATGTCAGGTTTCCAGTTTCAGTCGTTTTTATGACGGTTTTGGGGTGGTACTTTTCAATAAACCTAGCAAACACGGGCAAACAAAAGCACTCCTTATGCTACTGGATTTTTCATGTGTTTTATCTGAAGGCACTAAAGAGACTTCAATTGTTGGATCCTTTGCATTTTTCACCCGCAAGTGTGAACATGAAGTAGACAAGAATGATTGAGCATGGAGCAAGGCAGTATAACTTGGAGTAATGAGATGAAACTAAATAATGGTAAATGAAGGAGCAATATTGGTACTGGGCAAATTTATGAACAGTGAGATCTTTTCTCAGGTCTGGCTTACCCACAGACTTTGGCTGAGTCTCCACTCACCGGAGGATTGACCCTCTGGCAATTGATCTTCTGGGATTTGATTTAGCTGATCTAGGAAAGACCTGCTAAATCAAATGCTGAGGGCGCCCCTGTTGGCGCACAAGGGAAGTTGGTTTTTTCTCCTGTTGACCTCTCACTGTGGAGACAGCACTGAGCTTGGCTTAAGGTATGTTGACTCAGTACATTATTTACAGAGCTGGAGTTGCATACCTTAAGCCAGGGGTGTCCAAACTTTTTTCAAAGAGGGCCAGATTTGATGAAGTGAACATGCGTGAGGGCCGACCATTTTGCCTGACATTCTTTGAACCATTAAAATTAAATGCAAATTAACTATTTTATGCAAAGTTTATTGCAAACGGCATACTTTTCATTTTGTCACATGGATGACAAATCTAAACAGGTGTTAAATCACTCTGCCTTTCATATCTGAAGGCCAGATGAAAAAAAAATCCAGGAAGCTGAAATATATGTCGGGAACATTGTAAAGTACATTACATATTATTGGTAATAAAGGTTGTCTGTCAACTTTTAAGTTAAAAAAATATGAACAGGAACATAACACCAAGTATACATGTTGTGTCCAAATATATTTATAACTGATTTAGACCAACTGACATTAACTGAGATTTTACAATGTATTCATCTCAATACATATGGATTCGTTGGGGGCCATAAAAGATAGATATTGCCAAATTACCTGTGGGGCCGTATTAAACCGGAACACGGGCCGCAATTGGCCTGCGGGCCGGACTTTGGACATGCCTGCCTTAAGCCAACCTTCCCTCCGCAGCATAGACCTGGCCTTTGTTGCACTATTTTGGTTCAGGGTATATTTTCACCAAGATATTACACCAGCACAGCCTCTAATGGGGCTCAGTTATACTGATGTAAATGTGGCCTGTGCCATTCTAGCTCATTCCCTCTCCTGGAGCGGAAGAGCTGTCCCAGGTTCGATTCATTGTATTTAAGGCCAGGGACTAGCAGATCAGCTAGTCTGAGCTGAACATGCTAAATGTCACCCAGTTAATCCTTTGCTGAGCCAAACAACTTGTCTTTTGACTGATGAAAAACTTGTTTGGCTAAAGGGCATCTGCCTGCTAGCCAGCCCCACGGGGACCACTTTGGGGCTTGAACAACATTGATCTCAGTAAAGCAGTGTGGCCTTTGCATGTCGACAGGCCCTTACCCTGTGGCATTGTCTCCCATGGAAAGATGGACATTCAAAAACGAAACTGAATGTTCCATAAGGAGAGATCCTGCCCTGGGGAGAGGGACCTGATGTAACCTAATAAATCTCTTCCAGCTTCACTTTCTGAGATGAACCGCTAGTAAGAGGAGAGCTTTTCAGCAGTGTTTTATCTGAACTTTTCTTTTTAAGCCTCTCATTCAAACTGAACTTGGTCCACTAGTTCTCTCACAGGGTCCAGAGAGACTAAGGCTTCATATGCTCCAACCTCATTTGTCTTTAGCCACAGAAGGGGGCCAGGGCATTTTAATCCAGGCAACATGCTGTTCTGCTTGCAAGGGGACGTGGATGAGGACTAGTGCCATTTTCACTGAAGTCAAACTGATGCCGGAACCGGATTGAGCTCTCTGAACTAAGACTTTGTAATTCTTTCAGTCCTGGTCTGTAGCTGATTTGTAACAACGAATTGCGTGTATCCTAGGGATGTTGCCTCAGTTGACCACCCCTAAATAGACTCACAGTAATGCCTGGGTAGACCCCCAAAGTGCTCTACGATGACTAGGGATGTGAAGGACTAGTTGACTGTCCAAAAAACAAATGCTTATCGGATAGTCGACACATTAGTCGACTAGTCCCTCTCACTCCCCTCCCCCGCTGCAGCAAGGGTGGGGGAGAGGTGGGAGGAATTCAAAGCAGCAGCACCGCATGGAGCCTGGGGCCAGATCCCGGGCTCCATGCGGTGCTGCGGCTTTGAAACGCCGCATGCAGCCTGAGGACACCCCAGCTGGCCCCAGGCTGCATGTGGCGTTTCAAAGCAGCAGCACCGCAGGGAGCCTGGGGTCAGCTGGGTTCTCTCCCCACGGCATTCAAAGCAACAGCGCTGCATGGAGCCCAGGGTCTGGCCGCAGGCTTCAAGTGGTGCTTCTGCTCCGAAGTCCCCTCACTTCTCCCCCACCCCGCTGCCTCTTTCTGACAGAGGTCGGGGGGGGGAAGCAACCAGTCCCTCACTTTTGCCTTTGAAGTGTAACAACAGCCCTAGGGCTGTACCAGCAGTCGAACGGGGGCCAGATTATGGAGCTCCTGGGAACTGCAGATGGCCCCCAGGCTGTGAGTTTGAGACTCCTGATTTATACGATGCTAAACTCCTGCAGCACGGAATGGGCTGGACCTTGCACCCCGCTCTGGTTGGAGGTTCTCGGGGGACGGAGCAGTCAGACGGAGGTGCGGGTGGACTGGGGCATTAGTCACAACTGCGGGGTCCCAGGTGTGTGTGTGTGTGTGTGTGTGAGTTGCTTGGCCATGTTTACTACTGTTTAGGCTGGCTCTGATCTGCTAGCTCAGAAGCCCACGGCTGGCTGTCAGGAACGTGAAACCATACCGTAAAAACTCCCCCCCCCCAGCCGCTTCCCCAGCAGGTCGCTCCGCAGCCATCGCCCACATTGCAAATGGAAAACCCAGCCTGTTTCTCTTGTTCTGTTTTTAGCATGGCGGACAAGAACAGCGCCCTGAAATGCACGTTCTCTGCTCCTGGCCACAGCACCGTGCTCCTGCAAGGACTGGCCTCGCTCCGGGCTCAGGCGCAGCTGCTTGATGTCATCCTCACTATAAATCACGAAGCATTTCAGGTTCATAAAGTTGTCTTGGCTGCCTGCAGTGACTACTTCAGGTGAGACTCTGGCAGGAAAGCAGACCCAGGCAGCCCTTTGCCTTTCCCCCTCCGCCCTAGGAAAGGTGGCGGGACGCTGTTTGGGAAAATGAAGGGCCGGCTGCTCCCTCGCACCGAGTCGGGTCTCACCGAAGGCCGTGGCATGACTTGTGGAGCGAGCTGCTAGGTGGTATTTAATTCTAAGCCTTCCTCTCCTTATAGGCTGCCCGGGCAGTGCTCTCTGCCTCTCGGGGAGGGAATAAAGCTCATGGCCCCTCACTCCCCCCAGCGATGGCTGGTCCAGCTCATTAATGAGAGTCACTGAGTGGCTCTGAGCTGGAAGGATGGTGGCCACATCCAGGGCCGGCCCGAGCCCTTTTGGCGCTCGGGAGCGTGGGCCGCCCCCGGGCTCGGTGCATGCGCGGGCCCGCCCCCGCAGAGTGTGCGGGCCCGCCCCCCGGGGCTCACGGCGCATGCGCTGCCAGGCCTGGCCCAGCTAGCACTGCTAGCGCACGCGCCGGGCCATGCAGGGCCCCGCAGCTGTGGGAGGAAGGGTGCTGCTGGCCAGTGCCGCGGGGCCGGCGCTGCGGGAGCCGGGCACACGGCTCCTGATGGCAGCGATAAGGGACGCCGCGTGCCCCTTACAGCTGCCATCAGGTGCCCCCCATCGGTTGGCGTCCTGGGCAGCTGCCCGGCTCACCCATGCTTCTGTCTGGCCCTGGCCACAGCCCCCAGGGGAGCAGTTAAATAGCACTAATGCAAATGCTGGCTCGTTGTTTTCTCCAAGGTGTTCAGAACATCACAGTGGCCCCCTTGGTCGGACCAATGGTCCATCGAGCCCAGTCTGACCTGGGCCAGATGCTTCAAGGGGGAATGAACAGAGCGGGGCAGTTACGGGGGGTGACCCATCCCCCGTCGTCCTGGAACCTGGAGCATGGAGCTGCAGCCCTGATTGGCTTGGCTAATAAGCCACCGATGGGCCTATCCTCCATGCACTTAGCTAATTCTCTTATTTGAACCTACCGATACGTTTGGCCTTCGGAGCATCCCCTGGCAGGGAGTTCCACAGGGCGCCTGTGTGTCATGTGACGAAGTCCTGCTTTGTGTTTGTTTTAAACCTGCTGCCCAGTCAGCTCATCAGGCAACTGCCTGGTTCTTGTGTTATGGGAAGGGAAACATTTCGCTTCCCTAGTCCCCTTCACACCGGTCACGATTTTATAGACCTGCATCGTGTCCCTCCTTAGTCCTCTCTTCTCGAAGCTGACTAGTCCCAGGCTGTTTCACCTCTTGTTACTAGCGCTGAATGGATGGGTCCTTCTAGGATCCCTGGGAGGCAGGGCAGGACTGTCACCCTCCTGCTACAATGCAGAAGTGAGGCAGAGAAATGAGCTAAATTGCCCTAGGCCAGACCTGGAGTGAATTTGGGGCAAAGCAGGAAGTCAGACTCAGCCCTCCTCAATCATTAGCCAGAATCCTCACCAGGGGGCCACCCGACCTCTCTATTAAACTGTTACAGTGCATTCCAGAGCGGAATCTCGTCCTGGCTGGGAGAGGGCAGCTTCAGATGCTACAGGTACTGGGGATGCCCCAGGTGTTCTGATCCCCCCTGGCAGCAAAAGGGGCAAAGGGCCAGCTGGCGTAGTTGGCAGTTCCTGCAGGGACTTAGCTGCTGAATCCTGATGACCAAAAACACCAAGCACCGTGTGCAGGGACGTGTGTCTGATTTTTTTTCCACCTCGTGTTGCTGCTCCAGGCTGCCTTGTGTGTCTGTCATCTTAGCCATTCCAGGAGCCGTGTTGTTTTATTCTGGCAGCAAAAGGGGCAAAGGGCCAGCTGGCGTAGTTGGCAGTTCCTGCAGGGACTTAGCTGCTGAATCCTGATGACCAAAAACACCAAGCACCGTGTGCAGGGACGTGTGTCTGATTTTTTTTCCACCTCGTGTTGCTGCTCCAGGCTGCCTTGTGTGTCTGTCATCTTAGCCATTCCAGGAGCCGTGTTGTTTTATTTTCCATTAACCTGAGCCCTAAAGGTTTATTGCTCTCCCTAACAGGCAGGCAATTAACGACGGAGACGATCTTCCTCCAAATGCTAATCGCGCCATTTGTATTCGTAAACGCTGTATGTGGTGCTGCTGCTCGGGAGTTTTCACTGTCGCACCGTAATTGCCTCGTAGGTTTCTTTTAGAACTTCTGCTGTGCTAAGAAGGGCTGTTGTGGAGAACAATGGTGGCAGAGTCTGCTTGTTGAAGAAAATACCCTGCTTTTTATTCCGAAAGGTGTTTGGAGGGGAGAGAGCAATAAATGCCTCTTTCGTGAGTGTCTGTAACCAGTATTGCAGAACCGTGACACCTTGGACGAGAATTGCATTATTCTGCCTGCCTGTTTCCTTCTTCGCGTTCAACTTCTCGACCCCACATATCTGTATGCCTCCCACATGGCTCCAAAGCCGCCTGTTGCGCGGGGAGATGGTTATGTAGCAGGGTTGTAATGTAATGCAGCTTTCTCTTGCATACACCCAATACCAGTGAATAGTATTCTGGTCACTGGCCTATGGAAGACCCGTTTTATCTCCCACTGCTTCGATCCCTCTGCTGTCGGTGCGCCCACAGTGGCCTGCACCACTCCTTGGGACAAAGCGTGGGGAGGGAGATTGCACCCCCCTTGCCTCTGAGGTCCCCAGCTATTGTTTTGCGCCTGTGTCTGACTCTTTGAGGGTACCGCGTCAGTTTCCTTCTCGCCAAGATGCCTCAGTTGAGGTAGCCGAACTCCTCCAAACTGCCAGATATTTTTGAGGTCGGGGTGGGGCCCTTTTCCCCTTCCTGGCCCTTCTAGGGGATACCTCTGCTGCGAACTAAGGTGTCACTGGAGTGCGGGTGTGCCAGGCAAGCCGGTTTTCCTGAGGATCGTGGGGGTAGCCAGAGCAGTGAAAACATGGGAGCCCGGGCTTGCCTTCCCACCACATCTTCCCTGCTGCTGTGACCCGCCCTAGCGAAATGAAAGGCAGTGTGAGTATTCCGCCAGGCGCGACAGCCACATCCTAACCTTTCTGGGCCGGCTCCTGCCCTGGCTGCCCTGCAGCCCCCTGGGGATACACAAATCCAGGATGGTGGAACTGGGAAGAGGGAGGCAACGGGGCCAGTTGGGGGATGGCAGGCCTTATAGTTGGGGGAAGCACATCTTCATTAGAAGCTCTTTGGACCTTTACGCAGCCTGGTTTTGATGAAACTGGCTCCTTCTGGCAGCCTGTTTGCAGGAGGCCTTTGATCACCGGGGCCCCTCTGGCAGTGCTAGTTGGGACATGTGTCCCCAAACAACCTTTGCACTCAAGCTTCCCCAGAAGTAACCTAAACCGTGCCCAAGTTTAATGTCAACTGAGAAATGCTCCCCGGCTGCAGCCCCATCACGTCCACAGAGTAAGAATGGGGGAAATGCTGGATTGACCTGGTAGTCTGCAGCTCTCCACTCAGCACGGCCAACCCGTGGAATAGAGACGCCTCCCACGGAAGTGATCCAAGGCCTGCTCAGCCGATTTGCTCACAAATAGATGTTGTGTTTAATTGCCGGCTAGTTCTTGACCACCTCAAATAAAAACACTGATGGTCCTTTAATAGGCTCGGTCCAGACCTTTCTGTGACTGTAGGGTTGCCAGGTGTCCGGTGTCCGGTGTCCTACCAGACAGTGCAGTGTCTGGAATTCTCTGATTTTTCCGGCTGGGCACCGGACAGAAGCCTGACATGGGCGGCACTGCCAGGCTCTTGCACATTCACAGCTGGGAGGCGGGGCCGCAATCGCTGCTGGGTGGGCGGGACGGGGGAGGTGTGGGGGCTCCCCAGCCACTCCCCCTTCCCCCACCAGGCTTCTGTGCAATCACAGGCTCCTAGTGGCATTCGCGGCTGGGAGGCGGGGTTGCGATCGCTGCTTTTTTTACTCAACCAAAAAAATACCGGGTGTCCGGTATTTTTTGGGAGACCATCTGGCAACCCTAAGTGTAAGACTCAGCAACGGCTGCCCTGTGCTCCTACAGTGCTCGATATGGCCTACGTGCATGGGCATTAGCCACAGGCAGGCGGTCTCTGTGACTGGCCACCAGCCTGCCCTCTGCAGCTCTCACAATTCCTAAGTGGAATGTGACCCTCCAGAAACATCAGATCCTTGCCTTGAGATTTGCAGCCAATTGCAAAGTGCTCCTCATGTCCAGAATCTGAAAGCTATTAATGAGTTCATGCACAATGCAATAGGCCAAACTGAAATCCGGTCCACAGCACCCGGCTACATGGAAACCCAACGCATCATCCAACCTCCAAAGGCCAGCACCTGCAGAAATTGGGGTACTTCTGTTGCATCCACACACACCCTCCCATTTGCATTTGCTAATCAGGAATCTAGTTGTGCAGTAACCTGGTTGTTTTTACAGGTCCATTAGAAGTGACTGTTGCTAAAGCCACCAATGTTTCTAAGCCCCGAGCATATGTTTCTTAAGGTGCTTTTGTTGTTTGTTGTTGAAAATCATCAAATGAGGGGATACGTTTGTCAGGCAGTTTGTATTGTCTGCCTTTATGGCGGAACGGTTAGTTCACTAGTTAGGGTGCATCTACACAGGACCCTAAACTCGAAATAAGAGATGCAATTTGCACCACACAAATTGCGTCTGTTATTTCGATTCTATTTCAAAATAGCTGATTTCGAAATTTGGCGCATCTACACAGCGCCAAATTTTAAAATGATGCGCTAATTTGAGACATCCCTTAACCCTTGCAGAATGAGGATTACAGGGATGTTGAAATAGCACACCCATTATTTCAAAAAATATTTCAAAATAACAGGCGGCTTGTTAAGACTTGGCGTAGCTATTTCGGGGTACCTCCGGTATCCCAAAATAGCCACGCAGTATAGCTGGACTGGTGCATCCCTTCTCCTTCTGGTGTCAATGCAAGGACTGAAACCTTATTTTGTAACTAGAATATCTCATTCTTATCTCCATGCTATGTACCGTGTATAGTATCTTTTCTTTTATCTGAGTACCTGTTATTTTGAGCTCCCATTTCTCTTGTGCAGTTAGGCCTTTCAAGACACTGTGATTTGATTACCAGCCTGCACCCCACTCCCCAAAAACCCTTGAGGTAGGCAGCACATCACTTTACTCTCTCACATTTCTCTTTGTGTTCTTGATCTTCAGGGCCATGTTCACCGGAGGGATGAGAGAAACCAATCAAGATGTGATTGAACTGAAAGGGGTGTCCGCCAAGGGACTGAAACACATAATAGACTTTGCTTATAGCGCCGAAGTGACCCTCGATCTGGATTGTATTCAGGATGTGCTGGGTGCGGCTGTCTTCCTCCAGATGGTGCCTGTGGTGGAGCTCTGCGAAGAGTTCCTGAAGTCTGCGATGAGCGTGGAAACGTGTCTTAATATCGGGCAGATGGCCACCACCTTCAGTCTGGCTTCCTTGAAGGAGTCGGTGGACGCCTTCACCTTTAGGCACTTTCTTCAGATTTCCAAAGAAGAAGACTTTCTGCACCTGCCCCTGGATCGCCTGGTCTTCTTCTTGCAGAGCAATAAACTGAAGAGCTGCAGTGAAATAGACCTCTTCCACGCTGCCATCCGCTGGCTGCAGCACGACCAGTCCCGCCGGGCCAACGCCAGCCAGGTGCTCTGCCACATTCGCTTCCCGCTCATGAAATCATCCGAGCTGGTGGACAGCGTGCAGACCCTGGACATCATGGTGGAGGACGTCTTGTGCCGGCAGTATCTGCTGGAAGCGTTCAACTACCAGATCCTGCCCTTCCGCCAGCATGAGATGCAGTCTCCTCGAACCACCATCCGCTCGGACGTCCTGTCCCTCATCACCTTCGGCGGCACCCCGTACACCGACAACGACCGGACCGTGAGCGGCAAAGTATATTACTTGCCAGACACCAATGTGCGTCAATTCAAGGAGCTCACGGAGATGGAGGTGTGCAGCAGCCACGCCTGTGTGGCGGTGCTTGACAACTTTGTCTACGTGGTAGGGGGACAGCACCTGCAGTACCGCAGTGGGGAGGGCGCGGTCGATATCTGCTACCGCTACGACCCCCACTTGAACCAGTGGCTGCGCATCCAAGCCATGCAAGAGAGCAGGATACAATTTCAGCTGAACGTCTTGCACGGCGTGGTGTATGCCACGGGTGGGAGGAACCGGTCGGGGAGCCTGGCCTCCGTAGAGAAGTATTGTCCCAAAAAGAACGAGTGGACCTACGTGTGCTCCCTCAAACGAAGGACGTGGGGGCATGCTGGGGCCACAGCGGGAGGGAAGCTGTACATATCGGGTGGGTATGGCATATCTGTGGAAGACAAAAAAGCCCTGCACTGTTATGACCCCACAGTTGACCAATGGGAGTTTAAAACCCCAATGAACGAACCCCGAGTCCTGCATGCCATGGTGAGTGCAAATCTGAGGATTTATTCCCTAGGAGGGCGCATGGACCACGTGGACCGTTGTTTTGATGTATTGGCTGTGGAATACTACGTGTCTGAAACTGACCAATGGACAACCGTGACCCCGATGCGGGCAGGACAGTCGGAAGCTGGTTGTTGCTTGCTAGAAAAGAAGATCTATATTGTGGGGGGGTACAACTGGCACCTGAACAATGTCACGAGCATCGTGCAAGTGTATAACACGGAAACAGATGAATGGGAAAGGGACCTGCATTTCCCAGAGTCTTTTGCTGGCATAGCATGTGCTCCCGTTGTTCTACCACAAATAACAACCCAGAGATAACCAGGTGCGACTGGGCTGGCTGCAAGACCCTCTCTTGCATTGCATGTTCTCAGGACTGTGCATTGTCTCTTTGTTTGCAAATAACATTGTGTGTTTGAGGGGCGGGGGTTTGGGGGAGGGAAGGAAGGAGGAAAATAGCTTTCACCCCCTTCTCCAGGAAACCTCCTCCTCCTCTTCTTTAGCATCCTGGCAGCTGTTCTTGTCGGCCAGTTAGACTTAACATGCTGCAGCTAGACAAGGCTCCTTGGTTTTTTGGGGGGGAGGGGGAGATGCATTACTTTGCCCATCTTTTTAATGCCCTTGCATGTTGCAGACCGTAACCGCTCTGCAGTGGTGCTGAAGTGCCGTGGGAGGTTTAGATGAATTCCCATGTGATTTCATGAATGTTTCCTGGTTCCCAGAACTCATTGCTGTGTGTAGGCTTGTGTCCTCTTGTTTTTAACAAACAAAACCAAACTATAACATACTGACCTCCAGAAGCAATAAGGGGATGCTGGGAAGGAGACAAGATGGGGGGCTTGGCTTCCCAAGATGTGATTCCCCCCCCCCCCCCCCCGCTTTCCTTTTGACTAATAGGATACAGGCAGTCCCTGACTTACGAACGGGTAACGTTCCGAACACCTGGTTGTAACTCAATTTGTTCGTAAGTCGGAAAAACCCTTAAATGCGCTGCCCGCGCTGTTTGAAAAACTTGATGCATATGGTTCTCAACTCGAAAATATTGTAATGGGGTTAATGGGAGGTTGGTCATAAGTCGATGTGTTCGTAAGTCAGGGAGTGGCTGTACAGGGTATCTCTGACCACTGAGGTCTGTGTCGATTCTGTTTGCTCTTTGCCAAACAGGACAGTTTAATCAACCTTCTCCTCCCACTCCTCCAGAGAGCCGCATCATGTTCTACTCAACAAAACTCCCCTTTCATTAGGGCCCCCAGACTTTACAACCCAAATGGCCATGTTGGCAGCTCGCCAGGAGCTTGAGTGTGTTGCTAATTGAATCTAAACATGCATGACTTTCATCATGGCCACTAAAGCATGTGACAGGCCCAGCAATAAGAACCCTGGTGGTGTAATCCATCTGCATGCTGAGGATGTAGGCAGAGGGCACCGCTCCTTCCTGTTTGAGCTCATTTCTTCCCCGCCCCGGGCAAATTCACCCACACTGGGTGCTTGTCCTCCTGCGAAAAGGTTCCTTTGCTGCCCCATTTATGAATAAGAAATGTCCGCTCCGAATACCGCCGAAATCTGTGAAATGTAAAGTTCTCTTGCTCCCAGATCTTTAAGTTGTTAACTAGAGATTCCTTTTGAGGACTTTGTGGTGTGTGAAATATATTTGTTTTCTGCCGGCAGAACTTCTCAGTGATCTTCTTTGTCAGGTCAGTTTTCTAAGGAGATGGGCCTTTTGGGGCACTGGAAGTTTCTCCTTTTATCAGGAATATTGTGTCAAGGGCTTCATTACCTTTCTTTTTTGGTGTATGCAAAACTTTGAGAAGCAGGTTCTGGCATTTCTGTAAATGCTAAGTTGTTACCTTTTTAGAGGGCGTATAAAAATCTGTTTTGCTAACGTACCCTTGCTCAGGCCCAAGTGCTGAAGCAGAATTCACATTCATTGGGAGAGATTTCTCAAGGATTGAAATTCAAACATTTGCAGAAGCGATGCAGAAAGTTACCCGGCTAAGCCCCAGATCTGACACATTCACCGTGAAGACGACCTGGTGAAAAATTAAATTCTCTGGTTTCATTCCTTTTTTTGGCCACCGGTGGAGGCTTTATTTTTATTCCTTCATTTTGCTGCAAGATTCCAAATTCTACGGGTAAGCTCCACGCGCTGGCGCTGAAGTAGTTTGCTACCCCATCTCGCCTCCCCTTGTGCCGATGTTGCTGCAAAAAAGGGCTTCTTGCCAAGAAATTGACACCATTTGAGAGGAAAGAAATGTTAATAGAAGGACTAAAGCAACCAAATAATGGAAGCCCTTTTATTAATATACCCTCCCTACGTGTGTTTATCAGTCGTTAGAAAAACCCAAATGTAATCTGCCTTTTTTTCTTCCAGTTGCAAAGTCCACGTAGCTTTGCATGGGGTTTCCTCTCAGAGGAACACTTCAATGCTCTTCCTTATTTTTTTTCTAACCTCATATAAATACTATTTCTAAGTCAGCAATGCAGAGCCAAAGAACAGCCCTCTGAAAACAAACCCAGGGGAATATTCCTAATGTTCACAAACTACCCTACAATAAACAAACCAGAGAGCCTGCATGAGGGATGACATAGGAGCCCGGTGCTAAGGAAAAAAATTTTTTTTTTTCATTTCAAGTTTCGATGGTTACAATAAACAAACCAGAGAGCCTGCATTTCAAGCTTCAATGGCGGTGATTAAATTGTTGCAGGGGAAGAGAAGAGAAATATACCTTACAAACTATGAAGAAATACATTCTTGGGCTTCTCTTTTTAAAAATTATTCTTGTGGAGGGGAAAACCAGTTTAGAAGGGTGGCTTCCTTGATAGAGAGAGAGAAAAAGTCAATCCACAGTGTGCATTAATTAAACAGACCTGCTGAATTAGCCTACTCACTTGTATTCCCCTTCCATTCCCCCATGTAATCGGTGCTAAGAGGAGGGTTCCTGATTCTCTAGCTGGAGGTTGCTAGCAGAGCAGGGACATGCACCATCTCTGTGTTAATGGAATGTTGTTTTTATAGATCTATATACAAATACAATTATTTTTCATAACGTTAACTTCCAAAATTTTAGCTGTTCCTAATGGAAAAGAAACTAGCTGAACTCTTGTGAAAATGTGTATCTTGCCTACCAGTAATAAAAGTGGTTCCGCTCATGTATGATACCTAGCAATGGCTCTGAGCTCTTCTATGGCCTAAGATCTGTTACCCTGAAAAACAACTTGGTGCTTTGCTGGATAGAAGCAACCTGACTATATATGGGGTCTCTTTGAGGACCATACTGCTTTATTCCCAGGGTGCACAGCTCAACAAACTTTGAGCCTCGAAAGGACTCAGTGACGGCAAAAGGTTCAGTTTCCTGTATGCATTCTGCTACAAGTCTGTCAGCTGGGACGGAGTTTGCTTGGAAACCATCTACCTACTTCCGGGTAGCATGGACCTGTTTAGATGCAGATTTCTCCTCTCCTTTGCCCTGATCTCGTTAGCTTTAAAAGTCTCAGAGGGGGAGCCAGGTTAGTCTGTAGCTTTAAAAACAAATAGTCCTGTGGCACCTTAGGCTACGTCTAGACTGCATCCCTCTGTTGACAGAGGGATGCAAATCAAGCACGTCGAAATTGCTAATGAAGCAGGGATTTAAATATCCCTTCATTAGCAAAACATGGCTGCCGCATTTTTTTTGAAACTTAGGTCTGATGAGCAAGGCACATTGGAACAGGTGTATATAGCATCAGTGTTGTGCTTAAAAGAAGCACCCGGGATCTTTTTCAGGGGGATAAGGCAACATGCCACATTTATTGAACGTACGTAGATCAGTCAATACTTATCATATGCATATGATCAGGGCTCACCGAACCGCGGTGAGCCCCGCTCGCCAGCCGTGCTGTCTGGCAATCTGCGCATGCACAGATCGTCCGAACCCAGCTCTTCCGGGTTACAATCTACTCGCCACGGGCGAGTAGATTGTATTATTTGTCAAGCCCTGCTAATCTACATCTCTCTGTCGACGGAGAGGTGTAGTGTAGACACAGCCTTAGAGACTAACCAAAACATTGATCGAGTATCATGAGCTTTCGTGGGCAAAACCCACTTCCTCAGTTGAGCAGAGTGGAGGAAAAAAGGGGGACCCTCACAATTTATAACAGAAAAAGAAGGGGGGGGGAAGTACCTGTCAGTTGTAGTGCCAGTGCTAATGAGGCTAATTGAGTAGCATCCCATACGTAGCTTTTGATGTCCACTGGGTGTTGAATGTAAGGAGAGCAGGTTTTATAATGGGCTGTCCATTGCAGGTCTTTGTTCAAGCCAGGAGAAAGAGTATCACATTTGCGTAGTTCCGCACTCTCTCTCTGTAGTTGGCTTGTGAAATTCCATTGTAGAAGAATGGCTACTTTTAATGAGTGCCCAAGCAGGTTAAAGTGTTCTCCTACAGCCGGGGTGGGGAGCCTTTTTTGGGTCGGGGGCCGCTGACCTGCAGAAAAATCAGTCAGGGGCTGCACACAAGAGAGAAGCAAAAAGAAAAACCAAACCCTTGCAGACGTGGCCCCCAACTGAAGAGAAAGATGCTCCCCACATTCCTCTCTCGCACTAGAGCCAAGGGGACCCAGGCTAGTAGATTTTGTACACTCCAGCTGGGGCTGGAGCACCAATGCGGGCTCCCCAGTGCTGGGGGGGAAGAGCCCAGAGTCTTGGGGGCTAGATCCAGGCAAGTCGGGGCCACATCTTTCCCCCAGGCCTTAGGTTCCCCACTGTTGCCCTACAGGTTTCTGCGTAAAAACTTAAAAAATAACGAATAGTCTAGCAGCACCATAGAGACTGACAAAAAATGTAGAAGGTATCATGAGCTTTTGTGGGCACAACCCACTTCTTCAGATGAATCAGGTTTCTGTGTGTTCCCATTTGTGGTGTCTGATTTGTGTCCATTTATCCTTGGTCATAGAGACCGTTTGGCCAGAATCCATGGCAGAGGGGCATGCCTTGGCTTTGTGCCGATAATAGGACAGTCAGTTTGATGTGGCAGTGAAGGGCTCAGAATAAATATGCAGCTAGATTTGCCCAGAGTGTTGGGGGAGAGAGGACTTGCTTCCCGGTTTTGTAATTCTGGTAGAACTACTCCTTGGCCACCGTTTGGCTGGTGGAGCCGCACTCTGCGTGAGCAGCCGTTGGCCTGGCAGCCTCTCCCCGCAAAGAATGAACAAAGCCAGACAAATGTTTGATTGCACTCTGAGTCATTTGTTGGATTCAAAGCAGCAATAAACATGACAGGGATAAACCTGACTTGGCACGCTTTTAAATACGCTTGAACAGATGGGGAGCGGGAAAAGCAAAACGTCATTGGCTCTAGGTATTTGTGCAGCACGGGTATGTCCCAGTAGGGGCTCGTGGCACTACCAGGAGAATAGTCTTTGACTTCTCACATTTTATGGGCCTCAAAATGTACCTAAACCTGGAATGAAAAATGAGACCTGTTGGCTGTGTCTGTGTCACACAGCAGTGTCACCTAATCCTGTCCCAACACGGCCAGCTTTGTCATCTTACTTTCATTTCTCCCTACAACAAAACTTCACGAATTCTCACTTCTCAGCTCCCCAGGGAGGCTATGGATCGGGATGTTGTGAAGATCAGGATTTTTAACAGGGTTCAAAAAAGAGCTGGATCCATTCATGGAAGTTAGGTCCATCAATACTTATTAGCCAGGATGGGTAGGAAAGGTGTCCCTAGCCTCTGTCAGAAGTTGGGAATGGGTGACAGAGGAGGGATCACTTGATGTTTTCCTGTTCGTCTCACTCCCTCTGGGGCATCTGGCATTGGCCACCGTCGGAAGACAGGACACTGGGTTAGATGGACCTTTGGTTGACCCAGTGCAGGCCGCTCTTATGTTCTGCTCACAAATACATCCCCAGCTATCTCACCCCAATCCTTAGAAGTGTTGACAGCAGGGAATCTTTCTTTTTTGATTTAGAATGAATAAAAGCACTTTTAGTCTTTTATGCTACTTCTGAGCATCCTGCCAATTATTTAAGAGGACAAATGCCATACATTCGTCTCACCCCCTTAGCAAATCCCAGCACATGAATTCAAACGTTTCCACAGCTGTTCACTGGCCAGTTCCTCAATCCCTCTCCCCCTCATCAGAGGCCAAATGAACCAAAGGAGCCTGCAGTGTCCTCTGAAAGTCAACCAATCCTAGGGCCTCTACTGAGAGCGTCTTGCCAGCCAACCCTTTTCCGCTATAGCTACAGTGATCTAGAGTCGCTTGTTCTGCTGACCAGAACTGTGGCAGCATATCATGGGGAGTTGCCGTCTGATGAGAAGTCCTACTACCAAAACTCCATTTCTAATCATACTGATCTCCTTTGTAACGCACTTTGAGATCTGCTGATGAAAGGTGCTCGTTTCTGAAACAAATGATTCAGCTTTCGCTACCTTTCTTTTTCTTCAGGCTAAACGATTAAAATATACTTAACGATGCACCACGGTGTTGGTTTGAAGTTATGTTTATGAGCAGACTTAAGCGACCAACTTCCTTAAGTTACGGTAGCCCTCCCGTAGTTAGTGTGAATCAACAGGGTTTCACTGTAGGGACCAGAAGAGGAGATTGGAAAAGACAAGATAGTGTGACCTAATCAATCTAAAGCTCTGTTTAAAAACAGTGGGGCCCATCCTCATATTTCAGCTGGATGTGGGTGCTTTTCCAGCAGTGCCTCCTAATATTGTCTTTGTGGATGCTTGATCATTTTGACCATATTTCAGGAGCTTGTAACTACCTCTCAAGGTCTCTTCCAGCCTTACATTTCATAGAGTCGTAGGTTTGGAAGAGACGTCGGGAGTTCACCGAGTCCAACTCCCTGCCCAAAGCAGGACCCAACTCTAACTAAATTACCGATGGTTCTATCATTCTATGGTTTGCTTGGGAAGAAACTTAATCTGCAAGGTTCTTACCTGGGCATTGTTTTTTTAATGGAAAAACAACCTCCCCTGATTTGCATTTTGTTGTGGGGACTCTTGCATTGGACCGTGCATTTTAAACCATGCCTGGGCATGTTACACTCTGGATCCTTAAGCTTCCTGGTTTTCCATCTTCATCCCAAACTACTGATTGAATTTTAGTAGCACAAATCTGTCACTTTTTTAGTGGAATATTTAAACTGGAGGGATTACACAATGAAATCTGGAACTATATTTAGGGGCCAGTTGCGATTTTAAGATCATGACAGTTCAAACCCTGCACGTTCCACAAAGCATGCAAACTCTGCCTGAGGTCTCGGCTGTGGGTCTGGCAAGGAGCAGCCTGAAGACAGCTGCCAAGCTAACTTCATCCACAGCCTGAAATTAGATTCAGCTTGTAGGAAGGACAAAGGGTAAAGATGTAGTGTCCAAGGACTAGACAGCGCTAGGAGCCCAGAGTTGGGAACAGAAATGGAAACCAGACTGACTGCTACAGCAAAAATCTACTGTTTATTTACTGCAAAGAGAGCAAATCAAACCCACTTGGCTTGGTCTTGGAGGGTTTGTAGCTGCGATTTCACACCCAGGTCCCTGTCACATAATTAGGTAAAGAAATTTCTGTGGCTTCTTTA